GTGGAGGCTGGTGACATCGTTTTGCTTTTTCGGATCATTTAATTTCAGTTTTCTTTTTAATATCCTGTTCGCTTATCGATACTGCCGTATGTTGGAAGAAACGTGGTACAGTACGAAAACTGCCGACTTTGTCATGATGTTTCTGTTTTGTGGAACTCTCACAATAGTAGGGTGTCTTTCATTAAGTTTTTTTTCAGATAATCGCCTTGTTTGTGAACATGCTGTTTCTCAGTCATGTGTTGACAATGATGCTTGTTTACGTCTGGAGTAGAAGAAATCCACTAGTAAGGCTAAACATATTCGGGATAATAGAAGTGAATGCTCCATACCTTCCGTGGGTGTTTTTCGCATTTTCTTTCCTTCTTGGGAATAATATGATGGTTGATCTAATTGGTAAAGAGGTTTTCATCATTATTAACTGTTTAGGTATTTTTGTTGGTCATCTTTATTATTTTCTCGAAGATGTATATCCTAACCAAGTGAATGGATTTCGAATACTCCGTACACCTGAATTTATGTAGGCCTGAATAATTAATGCTGACGTGTATTTTTCTAATATTAGGAAATATTTGTTCAATAGACGACAAATTAATCGTGCTTATGAGCCTCTCCCAGAAGTGGGAAGACCTGGTGGCTTTAATTGGAATGGTCAGGAGTAATCTCACCGTAATAACAAATAGTTTTCTAATTTATCTTTTTCTTAGACCCCTGAGTATATGTTTTGGTTGTGTAAAGTTTCTTCTCTTGATTATTTACATTGGCTTATTATTTTTATTGCATGGTTTTGCCAGTCTGTAAATGTTCGTCAAGACTGCCTTACACTTTTGAGATTATCAAACCGCATTGTTGCTACTTTTTATAAACTTAAAACAATCACAATAATGTTTTGATTTTTTCAAAAATAACACTCAGTTGTACTTAATGTATGTTTCAGCACACGTGCATATCAACTAAATTGTCACATCCCACCATTACAGCGAGGTGGAATTATCAAATCCAAGAGATTCTTTAGTGATAATATTAGTAATAATATAAACGATGAGGCATAGATCTGCTTTGAGAAGAAAAAGTGGATTAGCGTGATTAAGATATTGACAAACCTCTGGCTGTGTAGTGAGATTTTTTTTCCGTTTAAAATGAATCTGATTCTTAACACAAATATTTATACACACACCGAACGCAAGAATATGAATATTTTACCGTTTATAGTATAATTTTTGGCAAAAATAAGAGAAAATAGGCCGATACTGAGAAATCCTAGATTGTTTTACTAAACTCTATATCTGCGAGCTTGACAGTATCAATAGAGCAGTGGCTTAGTAGTCAGGACCTTGGACTTTTATCCTCTTGATCGTAATTCGAGTACAACTCCATCTACGTTAGTTTGGACAAGCATGTAATATCGTTAACGCTCACACAAAATCTGGCTGAAATTTGGATACAAAAACCTGAACTCCACATATGGTTGAGTTGTAATATTCTCTCATCTTTCAAACAAAAGGAAAGATTTGTGTTTGATAAATAAAAATAGCTCTAAATATCTCAACGAGTGTATCACCACTTCTGTGAGACAAATCACTTATTTATACTGCGAAAAGTCACCAATATTAGTATTTAATTATGCTTCGCTACAATGTGCTATAAATTAAAAACAGTTTGGTGACACACTTCGGTTTTTACGTAGTAATTAGGATGATATCACTCTCAAATTTAAAGCTATCTTAAGTTAAGCTTAAGCTTGTATTTTTAGTTGTTGAGAAAATATAAACGGTACACTTACAACTAAATAGTGGCCCCCAAATGCCCTGGTACGGCCGACAGTAGGGAGAGTCCGCTTTCCCTCTCTAAATGCTCTCACACGCCCCGCGTATACAGCCTCTGTCAGGGAAGTCCTACTCATTACCTTCTCGTGGCGGGGGTGTTGTTTACGAAAATGAGAGGACGAAAAGCGAATGTCCGGCGCTTTAACTGGGCCAGTGGACACGGTGAGTCCATTTAAGGGAGTTGGAAAACCCTGATTCCAAACCAATGGTGCACATGGGCTCCAGTACCCTGAAGGAACAAATGGCGTATGAACCGATTGTTGGTCACCGGATACCATGGGACTGCATCTCCGTACGATGCTCCACTGCCTTGTGGATCAGACCTTCAGGTCGAGGGCTACAGGTGTGGCCTTCTAAGAAAACCACCTGCTTTGGTTTGAGCACCCGAGCAGTATCACAGCCCACATACAAATAGGGTGAAATGACGATATTTACTGAAAATTCTATTCACGCTTCGATTAACAGTCAAACAATTTACACTTTTATTTTTTACCACGTCAGTTATTCACTCTCTTTTCCCACTTTTAATGGAAAAGCGATATATTTATAAAGAAACGAACATATGGTTGTTCACTGATGTGATTTCTAAAAGCTTGTCAATCTATGATTCATCTTAGTTTTAAAAGGTGACATGTCAAAATTCTGTAAATGTCGACTATATCTTAGTAGCCTTGGTCGTGGTATTGAAGATGGTAGTTCACATAACCTGACTTATGACGTTGCAGCTTTGATTTAAATCTCGGAAGCGAATGAATAAGTACCGGAAATACAGGCATAGTTCACGCAATAAACAATATTCATTAATATTTAAAGCCATCTCCTCTACATTGCTAGCAGCAATTTGGAATTGTGTTGTCAAAACTAGTAAAAGTATCTTTCTGCATCGGGTATTCCTTTCCTACGCAGGACCCTAGCAACCTGTGGTGTAAAATACTTTATACAGACTAATCTGATCATCCATTGTCATGAAGCAGTCTCCATTGAAATATGTATTGCGTGTAAAAAAACGGATTATCATCCGATTCGTGGAGTCCCAGCTCACGATAGACAATAACATTTGTTTTAAATTGAGATTATAAATCGATTAACGTTAGACTCCCATTGATACCGACAATAACATTAGTGTCACAGTTCAATATGTTTAACTAGTTTAAAAGAAACAAATAATCCGAAGTCAATAGTCATCTGCTGACCAGTCGTACAGGTGAAAATAAGTTTGCTTAATACTCTGCAACCAGGACCGTCTTATTGTGGTTCATAGTTTCTTGTCACCAATTTTTCATATGCTTCGGTTTGACTTTTATCATACATCTTAGGAAGTTAGACTGTTGGAAATGTATTAGGCTAACATATCACGTAGTCCTGATAAAATGTCTTACTACCTACTCTATATTTTTAAGTTAATTTTTTCATCTAACTTTTAATCGAAAAGGCTACAGTTGTATCTTCAATAAAGTCTAGGGTAATTCATTAACATCAAGACGGATAAATTATGTATTAACGCACCCACTTTCTCAACTATAGTTGGTTTACATTGCTTTTAGAGATCATTAGCTGGTGCGACTGTTACACACTTTTTAATAACTCACACGTCAAAAAATTGAGTCCGATTATAACCTGGTCAGTGATCGACTAAGCATCATAATTGGAACTAAAATAATGTTACTCTATAAACTACTGACTAACTAGTTTGCTCCATGTTAAATTCATTAACTAATCCCTCAGTATATCACAAACAGCTAGATTTGGTTTTACTTATAATAGCGCACAGATGGTTTCATAAAACACTTGGGCGATGAAAGTAACTCAACTAAGCTGTTCTCTATTGAATTTTACCGGGATGGTCTCATTTCTTAGAGATTTTGTATTTTATTTATTTTAACACAGATATTGGTACAAGGAGGCACCAAATACATATGCGCCACATAAATCATTCGATTTGTATGAGGGCTGTGATACTACCCGGGTGCCCAGACCGAAGCAAGTGGTTGTCTAAGGGGACCACACCCTGAGCCTTTGACCTTAAGGTCTGACCCACAAGGCAGTGGAGCATCGTAAGGAGACGCAGTCCCATGGTATCCGGTGATCAACGATTGGTTCATACGCCATTTGTTCCTGCAGGATACTGGAGCCCATGTGCACCATTGGTTTGGAATCCGGTTGAAGCGCCGTATATCCGCTTTTCGTCCTCTCATTTTCATAAACAACACCCCCTCCACGAGAAGGCAATGAGTAGGACTTCCCTGACAGAGGCTGTATGCGCGTGGCCGTGTGAGAGCATTTAGAGAGGGAGAGCGGACTCTCTATACCGTCGGCCATACCAGGGCATCTGGGGGCTGGAGATTTCGTAACACAAGAAACAGTGCGTCATTTTGTATGTACTTTTAACTAGTTTATTTTTACCCACGGGTGAATCTCTACACCAAAAACGAGGAAGATGAGATTATCTGCCATGTATATCCAGTTAACTTAAGCTTTGGGTTCACAGATTAAATTGGGTACGATCTATGATATTGTGAACGAAACACTTCATCTGACATACAAGAATTTCCTCGAGTAAACGGTATCCGAAGTGAAACAGACCAAGCTCGTCTTTAATTTACACGCTGTTGTAACTCAACGATTAGGATGACCTATTCGCAGCATATCTAAATGCTTATAATGTGATGCATGATTGGTACCCAATCGATAAACACTGTCTAGTACTACATGTGTTTCAGCAGGGTGCTTGGTTTGATGTAGGAAATTTTATGACGACAGAATCAATTCAATAAAATATTGGTGTGATTTAGATGACCAAATTTTTCATGAAATCGTTTCATCCGAACATATCCCAGTTGGGTGACGACTGTTTTCTGAAATACTTTTGGTTCGGATTAGGGTGTCAGTTTTGCCACCAAACTATCAGCTCAATAGTCGCAATTATACCAGTATCTTTTGAGTCGGTCTCACTTCCATTACCATCTCGTAGACGTAGTAGACTTTACAACTATGAAGACAGTGATCTTGTAACTCATCGCTTTTTCTATCATTTCAAACAAAATGATGACATTTAAGAAGCGAACTCCTAGTCAAGTTGTGTTTATTTGTAGATGCGCGCAAGCCCTATACTTACATTCATCACTGTATTGGTATTGAAGATATAGAAACGTTCGATATAACAGATGTGATTGAACTGTACTTTTGGATTATTTGGTTTGCTGAATATCCAGTCATACCTACTGCATCAAACGAATATGGTTCCCACTCATCGGTCTCATGAACGATCATTTGTTGGCCTTCAAAATCTGTCACAGTTGTTCGAATAGATGGACTAGTTTAAAGATGAGAGTAAGTCAAGTGATAACATATTCAACACGCGCTCGTAGATGACGTTTTCTGTCAGATGATTACGCGGTACGAAACATTTCAGTAATCTGACATGTTCACCGCACAGTTAAGAAAAAATCAAATAAGTCGGTACTACGTGGGTTAAAAAAAGATTAATTTACGTTTATTTATACATACATGTTCAGACAATTTTACAATGCATGTGAAAATGTCCGGAACTTATCGAGCTTAAATGATGACAAATACGAGACCACATAAGTACATCCCAACATGGAAAAAACTTTTCGATCGCTTTGGTTCGAAAAACTAATGAGTTTGCAACAGAGATAAAATATGCTTCTCAATTATACGTTGGCTAGCACGTGAGCCTCGTCGTATAGCAAAATCCAGTGCTGTCCACCCATCTGCATTTATAGAAGTAATATCAGCACCCCAATCGAGTAACAGAGACACGATTGCGGCGTTATTGTTATAGGCTGCGAACATTAACGCAGTATTGCACAGTTCGTCAGACAGGTCTACTGGGCATCCAGCTTTGAGCAAGTAAAGAACCACATCAAAGTGACCGCGGCTAGCAGCTAGGAGCAGTCCTGTTTCTCCGTTATCTCCAGATAGAATGATATTTGCACCATAGAAAACGAGTAACTCCACTGCAGCTTTCTGTCCATTAGCACAAGCCCATAACAGCGGAGTAAATCCCTGCAAATTAAATAACAGAGCATATTAAAGCCAAGTAATCATCAAAGCATGTACTTGTATCGATATTCACACCACTAAAATATGGATTCTTGAATAGCTTGTAATGAAATAACACCAAACTTTGCTAGATAAAGTGATAGAAGTAATCATAAATGCGTGCACGATTGTAAAGTGAATTAATGATTAATTTTACTGGCGAAATAATATACTTCGTTTTTTCCACCACGATGAATCTTTAAAATATCTCATATAGTTAATTCAATTTTAAACGGTTTGAATGATCGTGTCGTCGGTGTCTAGCTTTATTTGCCTTCATTTAAAAATGTTTGTTGTAATTGCTTTATAAAAGTTTATCTAGGGAACTAACCCATGAGATCTCTAAATGATTTATTTTAGTCGCTTTAGACAAATAAACTGGTACAGACAGGCAGGCATCTGAAAAACAAAGGTAATCTAGAGACCTGTGGGAAAACATAAACCGATATTTACTGCTAAGATGCGCTAGTAAGGATCTTTAGAATAAACTCTTTCATTTGCAAGGATTTAAATCAAATCTCTGCGCCCCCAAATGTCCTGGAACGGCCGACAGTAGGGAGAGTCCGCTTTCCCTCTCTAAATGCTCTCACACGCCCCGCGTATACAGCCTCTGTCAGGGAAGTCCTACTCATTACCTTCTCGTGGCGGGGGTGTTGTTTACGAAAATGAGAGGACGAAAAGCGAATGTCCGGCGCTTTAACTGGGCCAGTGGACACGGTGAGTCCACTTAAGGGAGTTGGAAAACCCTGATTCCAAACCAATGGTGCACATGGGCTCCAGTACCCTGAAGGAACAAATGGCGTATGAACCGATTGTTGGTCACCGGATACCATGGGACTGCATCTCCGTACGATGCTCCACTGCCTTGTGGATCAGACCTTCAGGTCGAGGGCTACAGGTGTGGCCTTCTAAGAAAACCACCTGCTTTGGTTTGAGCACCCGAGCAGTATCACAACCCTCCCGCAAATCAAATGAGGTTTGTGTGGCGCATATGTATTTGGTGCCTCCTTGTACCAATATCTATGTGTTAAAATAAATAAAATCTAACTTCATCAGTTGGGAGGTCTTGTGGCACTGTCTTTTGTTGGTATGGGTTTCTAAAAGCCAACTTGTCCTGATAAAAGACTAACTAACCTATTGGTGGTCAGTTCTGAACTTGAGAAAAGCTGTTTTATCACCATACGTTGCGTTAGGTTTTTATCAGAATGGTTTATTCCTCATGAACTCCTACTTTGTCATATATATATATACTTCATCTCACTCCATGCATTTATTTCGACTGAAATACAATATTGTCGACTTGGATTGTCGAAACATATCCCTGCTCAGGGATTAAAATGAGCAACTAGTATGCCGATTCTACAATTTGGAACTCCCGGCTTCAAAGCCAAACTACCAAAAGTACGTCTGAATTCCACAGTAATCTCTTATACAGTTGGGGTCCAGTATTTGTCGAAAGTACTGGTGTTTTGTTGTTGATCAAGACTTCATGTCAATTTATTAGAACCCACGGCTAAAACCCCAGAAAACCTATGAAATGTGTACAGAAATGTAGATCTAATAAGCACTTAACCGTTAAATGACTGTAAACTAAATACACCATGTAAATGTTATTACGAAATGTAACTTAAAACTGTCATTTGAATCGAGTTTTAAATCCCCTGAATGGATGATAGTCGAATTCTAGGCATATAAAATAATCTAAGTATACCTATATCAAGGGAAACGGTACCAAACATTTTCGAAACACTTTCTGAAAAAAACAGTAGATATGTGCAAATAGATGCATTACTGTAATAAAAGCTGATTGAACTTAGAATGCGTGTAAGGCGACTCATAGGAAAAATCTAAATATAGTTTATTTGGGAATGTAGAACGGGATATACTTCGAACCGCTTACTTGGTTTGTTGATCGCATAGCGTGTCCAAATCAACATTGGCAACAATACTACATGCTGTTGATAAAGTATATAAATATATATATATATATATATATATATATATATATATATATATATATATATATATATATATATATATATATATATATATATATATATATACTCTTGGTACATTAGCCATAATATTAAAACGAACATAAAATAATCCACTTAATAACTCCGTCAAGATCTCTTTTATGATTTCATTAAACTGTGGTGGCCAGAATACTATTTTTTAATTTGAACTACACAGAAAAACTGTAGGGTATTAACAATTAAGCTCAGAGTAAGTTCGGAGTTTGACGAAAAAGATGTAGACGATAGTGTTAATTTTAAGAATTTTCTTTACGTGCACGTACTGGTCTGTCACATATTTAAGTAGGTTGCGTTACTTTGCTACTAACCTGGTTATCTGAGACATCTATATTGAAGTTTCGATTTTCTATTTCCCTTTGAAGCAACAACAGCTCACCCTGAGCAGCCATTTGAAAAAATGTTAGGTCTTTAGATTCCGTTGGAGCAAGTGTTTGAACATTTCTTCGCTGCACATTAGTTAGCAGAGTAGATATTTTATTTGGTGACCGACCACAAGGTCTGTTGAACTCGGCTTTTGATAAAAAGTCGGGCGGAGGCACAATTGACCGGAACGACATTTCTGTTAATCAAGCCATCAGAAGTGTTTCACGTAGTAAGACTGCATGGCGGGTTCCGGAATACTTCTAAATGAACGTAAATAAAACAAGTAATACCATTAAACGATCTTCCGAAAAATGTGTACCAACCTGAGTTACTGGGATTCAAATACATCCTAACCATTAGTAGCACTCCAGTGGATAACTTAAAAAAATATGATATCCTGAGTGCAAAATCGAAAATGTCGTCGCCATTACGGTTGCTTATACAGTAGGTTACTTGCATTCCAACCACTAGGTCCCAGTTTTAAACCCCGTTTCCATCAACTTGTAACCTGACGCTATGCAAGCAATCGCGTGCGACTTTACGTTGGGTATATTTATTATTTATTTATTCTAACACATAGATATTGGTACAAGGAGGAACCAAATACATATGCGCCAAACAAATCTCATTCGATATGTGTAAAGGCTGTGATACTGCCCGGGTGCCCAAACCCAAGCAGGTTTATGTTGGGTACACGAACCTGTCAACTAAGTCAGGATAATTAACGAGTAATGTGTTGGTAGCTTTTGTTTAGAAAGACTTTGATATGCGCTGAAGCCAAAAGTACTTCAATAAGACTCAACACCGTCTAGCATCTCAAACAATCTTTACCAAAGGTTTGAGTTTAACCCCGGTAAAGAAATAAGGATGTAAAAAACTAACTAGTTTGTGAGTCGAGCACGACACATGAATATACAGGCCTTTTTAAATGCTGGTGTTAGCGTTAGTGATGAGGTTGATTCACGTATAGTGAAAACCAGAGCGGCTTGTGATAATCTGGGTCATCTTTGGCGCCTTCGTGATGTTGGTCTAGCTGTAAAAGGTCGAACCTACAACGCGTCGGTAAGAGCAGTTTTGCTCTATGTTTGTGAATCCTAGTCTCTCCGAGTTGACGGTGTTAGACGACTCTCTGTGTCTGATCATCGTTGTAACCGACGGATTTCTGACACCCAGTGGCAACATCATGTTAATAATGCAGAGGTTTGGCATCGTCTGTTCGGGCACAGCGACGGTAATTCAATTGTTGTCACTATCTAGAGACACCGACTTCGGTAGCTTGGATATGTACTACGAATGTCGTCCCACAGAATTCCATATCGTGCATTATTTGGTGACACTGGGGCTGGTTGGGAAAAGCGGAGAGATGGTCAGTGTATAACTTAGTGCCGTTGTTAAGGTCTGGCTTCTGTTGATCTCTCACGATCTCCTGGTTGGGGTTATAGAGATGGAAGGACACAGTGGCTAGAGACGTTATCAGATATGGCTCAGAATAGAAGTCAGTGGCGACCCTGTTGCAACTTTATTTTACTTTCTTCATGAAAAAATGAACTTAAATTCTTTGAATGGAAGTTTTTTTGACTATATTTTTGTCAATTGCACTGCCTCTCCTATTGTTATTATTTCATTTTCACACACTATTTTCTGTTTGTTATTGTTCTCCTTTTTATTATATGCACTTTACACTATATCTCTTCACGTTCTCATTGTTATTGTGTGGCGCACATGCATTTGGTGCCCCGTTGTACCAATGTTTGTGTTCATATAAATAAACAAATAAATTTTAATTGTTAATTTACCAGGTCCTCGAAGTTTATACTCGGAATAACACGTCTGAATTAAGCATTATGTATTAAACTAGTTGATAGTTATAAGCGATTTATAGCAAAAAGTATAATAATTGCCAAACCTGTTGAGCTCAGATCATAGAAATAGTATCAAGTGACTCAACAATATTTTAATTAGATAGACATTCTAAGTTGTTGTACATCGAGGAACAAGCTCTGAATACTTGAATACTACAAGATGATGAGGTAAGATTTGCTGAGGTATGACACCATATGATCAACATGGTCAAGGATATGATGGTGTTTAAAGGGATTAAGGTAAGACCACAGATGCCTTAGAAATATTGCTGGCGTCTGCTGGGATAATCGGGTAAGTAATAGTGAGGTTAGACGCAGGGTATTAGGAAAGGATGGTAAATCAGTTGATGAGGTTATGAATCTTCATCGACTGAGATGGTTGGGCCACGTGTTACGTATGCCTGAACACCGATTACCACGACGTGCAATGCTATCCGGTGTTGGGGATGGTTGGAAGAAAGTTAGGGGCGGCCAAACCAAAACGTGGCATCAGTGCTTGAAGTCACTAACTTCTAGTCTGAGCCATGTTGGTAGATGCAGACTACTTGGTTGGGGTCCGCGTGACTATCGTAACCAATGGTTGGAGACTCTTGGTGACATGGCTCAGAATCGATCACAATGGCGTCGGTGTATACACTCGGTTTCTTCCCTTAAACTAAGAGATTAAAAGCGCTTCATATCTTTCTTTCTACTAACCAATTCTTTCTTCTTGTACTATATCTCTATATGCAATCTTTCTCTTATATATTACCACCTTTTACCTAACCACTGTTATGAATCCGGTGTTCATCTTGTTGTGCTGATGCGGTATGGCAACCTGGACCGATGCACATAAGTGCATGGTTCTACGTTGTAGCTGACTGACTGACTGAAGACGAAAAAAATGAAACTTCAGAAGCTAATCTTTAGGGATCGGTATTTATATTTTCAACAAATAGCAAATTGTATTTTTACACTGCCTTCATCTTAAGCTTTTGTTTTACTCACTAACCATTGTAGCCCCTTCCATCAGTGAAATAATTATGAGCGTATTACGTACTTCGCCTTACCGTATGCAGTAGTCAAGTTAAGGAGCTCAGTGCGTATAAACGGAAAATCGTTATGAAAGGATTACATAGTGACAAATATTGTGATGCATCGATGAAAAACAAGACTATCAGGCAAATTAGGTAACCTATAGGTACAAATGAGATTACGACAAAATATAATCATTATATTTTCCCCACTTCATCTGAAAGAAACATGGTCATCCTCGAACATTGACAACTGCAACACAGGTAAGCCTGATCAATACGACAATAAAAACTTGTTACAACAAACAGAGAAACTCGGCTTTCAGTCACACTTTAGGTTTAAAGTAGTGGTAGTACTATTCGAAATGAAAGTGGTGATATTTTAAACCTGCACTCCAATGGTCGAAATTCGAATGCTCCACAAAGAAACTGGCATATTTGGGGAAATAATTCTAACTTATTTCCTAAAAGTAACTGAATTCAATCTCTGGGACATCTCTAGAACTTTCGAAAGTATGTACACATATTACGTCACTTTTATAAGTAACAGTTACGTTCTACCTAATATTGGCTTATATCGATGATGTATGGTATGGATTTCACAGCCCTTAGCTATTATATATGTGTACTACAGAGTGGTACGAGTAATTAGGTAAACAACTCATTATATTTTAACGGAAACTCCAGAAGCTATTTCAGCTTACTTATGGAGAAAAATAATAAATTACGCATGCAAAACCATAGATTTTGTCGTATAATTTTCCATAAGTTAGACTCTTAGTACTAATTCTACGAGTTGATCTGTTGTCTGGTAGTAGAAACTTCAGCTCGACAAAAAAATATAGAAAACTGTTGGGTTCAACTACCCTTTTTCCATGATTTGCACGACTGTATTGACAAGCGCGATGCATGCACGAAACAAAAGGCAAATACACTCGAACCCTCAACTAATATTCTTAGATGTAATGTGAAGATATAGTTACTAATAGTTGAAAACTAGACGTTGTTTTTCAGTCACACTAAAGGATTACTCATGGCACATCATTTAACTGATGTGGAATACAAACGGAAATACAACGGATTCAAGTCTACGATATCGTGGACATATCTTGTGTAAATCACACTAACTGGACCAAATAATAATGAGACAAAAGTGTAAATATTAGGGTCTACATCAAGTGGAAATAACAAAAACTTGAAATTAATGCAGTCTGATAAACTAAACAATATGCTGATTGTATAAGACTGTCGTTTTTTTACCGTGACGTTGAATATTAAATCAGTGCCGAAATTGTTTAAATGGTTTTGGATGGAATAGAAGCTTTCATTTAATATGCTTCCGTATCTAGCAGCAGTGGGCTACTAATACTTCCATGCAGGAACCTAGATATATTATCGATAAAAGAGGGAAACGAAGATAATTGGCAAGTCATAGTAATATACTATCCTTAATCCTTAAGAATATGTCAAGTTTACTCTTAGAGTACTCCTGTGAAGTCGCTTGTACTAGCTCAGCAGGTAGTGAATTCTAGCAATTGACTGCTCTTAGGGAGTAGAAGGTGTGTCAACACTCTGTTCTACTGTGTTGTCTTCAGTTTCCTGGTGTTACCCCTAAGGTTTATGTTCACACTAAGCTTAAGTAGGTGTTTAAGGAAATGTATAAAAGTGTTTAGGGTGCTGTAAGTCATTGAAAAATCACTTATAAGACGCCTGTACTCTAATGGGCGAAATTTTAGTGATTGGAAGCATGAGGCTTGAATATGAGTATCCAAATTGATATCGTGGCTCGCCGTTCGATACGTTCCATAGTGTCCTTATCCTTGGGAGTGAGGAAGGAAATAACATGATTCCACACTCTGAATGGGGGCGAATAAAACTGTTGAAGATTATGTGAATTATTTTTTTCTCAAGAGACGAACATTATTGTGTATGGTCAAGGCATAGCAGTATGAATTAACTGAATTAGTGAAATTCCACCATGATCCTAGTAAACGACTACAGTGTGTAATGAAACAGTTTCGTCATCTGTTTGAACCAATATTTCATGTCGTCAATATGATCAATCATTTGACACGAACGAACCTAATCAGATAATCTGTTTTGGACTTAGAACTTCTAGATACCTTAGGTTGTATTCACCCCTACTCTTCTTTATTTTCTTACCTCTAGTTTTCAAGACATTATTTTAGCCAGTCACCAAAGAAGGTATGTCACCTGGCAATCACGTAAAGATGCCACAGATATTCGAATTTTGACAACGCCTTTACACGTAACTCCTCTATAATCGAAGTATGCTAGTACATTCAAGTCAGAATTATG